GTGCTGTCCCTTGTTTCCTGGGAGAAGAACCTGACTCCCACCTCCCTCCTATCAGTGAGTTGTCGAGAGAGAGAAGGGCCCACCTGAGCCTCCTTTTCTCCAGGCTGAGCCCCCCAGCTCCCTCAGATGCTCCTTGTCACACTTGTGCTCTAGTTTTTTTACTACTTTCCCCATCTCATTCACAATATGTACTTAAAATACATGCTTGAGTCTGAGAAGGAAGTTTTTTCCATGTAAATAATAGCCCTTCTAAGCACTAGGAGAGTAACAGATATTTTAAGCATCATTTGCCTGCCAAAGCACCAGGAGTCCTCTTCTGTGTCCTGCATGGAAATTATCTAATGGTTATGAGCTGACTTGAAAATGTCTTCTACTGAAAGTGGATCTCCTCTGTACACATAATGTGACCTAAACAGCTTGATGGTGTGTCAAAAACACAATGAAATGTCTCTCTCTGGGGTGGGGTTTATCTATAATGGGACACTCAGGAAACTGCTGATAAGTTAATTAAATCACTTTAAATACCCCTTTATTTATGTAGCCGGTGATGATGGTAAAGTGCAAACAATGGCCAGTTGTTCCCCTTGCAGTTTATTGCATTAAAGACTTATATTACTATTAATTTAAAACCAAGTGCCTCCACATTAAAAAGATCTGATCTTTACTGTGCTTTTCACTGTGAGCTTCTGATACAATGCCTAGGGATTACCAGAACACTTTAGGTATCTGCAAGTGTCTCACAGCAGTTCAAAATAATTTCTGTGAAGGGAGCAAACATACTCAGCTGCAACTAGAAATACAGATCCTAAGAAATACCTTGGACACAAACAGATGCAAAGTTCAATGCCCACAAAACCAGCCTCGTGTTTGTCGCTATTGCTTAAGATTGATCCCTCTCAAAGCAAAGCTAAACAAACTCTTTTAACCTCACATCTATGGCTGTAAATTACTTTATTTAATACACACTGCAGATTTTGTCCTATTTTCTCTTTAAACAGTTCACAAACTTATTTTGCTCTGCATTTTGAGTGCTTCTACCTATCAGTGAAGTGTATTGTCTCACTGAAGTGATTTTGCAATGATCTCATACCCCAATAAGAAGCATATTTAACCTGATCTGTGGCAGAAGTATGAGTTATTGTTAGCCACAAGGTCATTTCTTCCATCCCAAAGGTGCTACCCTGCCAAAATTTGCAATAAAGTCTATCAAATAATATCTGTAATAACTTGCAGGTAGTATCTCTCCACTGTAGGTAATTTTGAAGGACATGAGTCCATGTATCTCAACTTCAGTGAAAAAAGATTACTGATAAAGTAGTGCTTCCAGAAACGGCAATTAAAAATTCTACTGTAATTCCTGGCAATTCCTCACTGGCACTTCATCTAGCTTTCTCCAGAGTCTTTTCAAAAATACACTTCACTCTGCAGGAGTCTTTAGCTGATTTTATTAAAATTGCTTTTTAAAATGTAATTTTAATTATCTTCTGGCTTTGCTTTCCAGAAAAAAAATAGTCCAGAAGAAATGCCATCTGGTATTCCATAATGTCAAAGTGAGGAGCTGCTAGTGTGAGTTTAGACAACACATAAACACAAGACAGAGTTGGTAATCTGGTGATGTTTTTGACTGTTGAATTCATCTGAAGAAAATTGAAGATCACAGAACCACAGACTGGCTTAGATTGAAAGGCTCATCTTGTTCCAGCCCTCTGCCATGTGCAAAAACACTTTCTACTAGACCAGGTTGCTCCAAGCCCCATCCAACCTGGCCTTGAGCACTTCCAGGGATGGGGCAGCCACAGCTTCAGTGGGCAACCTGTGCCAGGGCCTCACCACACACAGGGAAAAATTTCTTAGAAATTTAACCTTGTTTTCTGTCAATGTGATGTCATTCCCCCTTGTCACAGACTCACAGAGTCACAGAATATTCTGAATTGGAAAAGACCCACTAGGATTATTCTGTCATTCCAGGCCCTTGTCCAAAGTCCTTCTCTCTTGCAGCCCCTTTAGGCACTAGCAGGGGGTCTGAGGTCTCCCTGGAGCCGTCTCTTGTCCAGGCTGGACAGCCCCAGCTCTCCCAGCCTGTCTGCAGAACAGAGGTGCTTCAGCCCTTAGAACATCTCCATGGCCTCCTCTGAACTTGCTCCAGTAGCTCCATGTCCTTCTGATGTTGGACCCCAGAGCTGGAGGCAGCTCTGCGGGTGGGGTCTCACCTGAGCAGAACAGAGGGGCAGAACCGGATCAGCCCAGCACATGGGTGTGGATATGCTCAATTCAGTCAGAGAGAAAAGAGAGGGAATTCTCCCAGGCCTAACCTGGGAAAGTTAGGAGAATGAATGAAAACAATTATTATCTCTTTCTGTTCATGTTGTTTATAGATATGTCCTACCAGAGCATGCTATTCATAGTGCACCAAAGGCGTGAAAAGTTTTCACTTTGAGACCAATCATATTTCACCTTAGGGATCCTGGTTATAAAAAGGAGCACTGTGTTCTGTAATAAAGATTCTTCTCTTGCCTTCTGAACCATTGGAGTCTTTTCTTTCCGTCCCTGACTCAACAGTGACACATGGGGGCTTCTGGGCTCTCAGCACGCATGGTCAATTCTGTTTAACTTCTCACCCATCAACACCCTAAAATTCTTCTCCCCAGGGCTGCTCCCTGTTCATTCTTTGCCCAGCCTGTGTTTGTGCTGGGGATTGCCCTGACCCACGTGCAGGACCTTGCAGGAGCACAGCCAGAAAGCTGAGCTGGGAGCACTGTCCAGCTCATGGCAGAAGTGGATATGTTAGCTTTAGCAGGCCACAAGCCTTGGCAACAGAAAGCAGAACCTTGAAGAAGGAATGCAGAAGTCAGCAGTGGATGTGCTTGATAAGCAGAATTTATATGGGAAAACATATACCTGTGCTAGTTAGTACGAGGCTCTGAATTAAGCAATGTTACCTAATTACATAAATGTTATACTTTTGCTATTTTTAGGAATTGCTCAAAAGGTATATAAGCTCAGCTTTGTGAGTCAATAAACGGCTTCACGTGTGCAAACCATGGAGTCCACGTCTCATTCATCAGTTGCCATGGAGTGGTGCCCTCATTGTGAAGGAGTGGAGATCGCCGGGCTGTGGGACTGAGGATGAGCCTGCAGAGCCAAGTGCTGCTGAGAGGACCAGGAGAGCCCCTGAGGATACAGGAGGTCAGATACCCTCTGGGATACAGGAGGTCAACTGCTGCAGGGGACAATGGGTCAGGGAATATCTGCCCAGGAAAGAGATGTTTTTGAACTTATGTCTAAGCTGTTGTGACAGCACAGCAAAACTGTACCCTCACATGACTTAAAAGTTCTATTACGATGGGCAGCTGCTGAGATCCCAAGAGTCACTGAGTCCACCGTCTTTACAACAGATCTGTGGGACAAGGTGGGAATTAAGCTATGGGATTCTGTTACCAAGGGAAGTAAAGCAGCTGCAGAAATTATGCCTTGCATAAAGTTGCAGGTTGGTTGCAGGGAATACCTGCTCTCCTTCTATGGCAGAAGCTCAATGCTCTTTAAAATCTGAAGAGACTGCTGCTGAAGTTGTTCGCCCCCCCCTTTACAACGGGGTCTCGAAAATCCATACATTCTGAAAAGACTGCATCTTTGCCTCCTACACCAGCACTAACATGACCCTCAGCCTCCGTGCCATCTCTTACGAGCCTAAGGTATTTTTTATATTATGACTTAGATGCATGTGACGCTGTGCAGGGTGGCCTGTTGGGGGGCAGGTGGAGATGATGTTGAGCAGGTGGCAGCGATATCGAGGGGGTGCTGAGGGTGACAGCGCTGCCGAGGCACAGCGCAGGGCCCCGGCTCGCAGCCCCCCGGTTGCCATGGTGACAGCCCCTCGGTTGCCATGGTGACAGCCCCTCGGGTACCATGGTGACAGCCCCTCAGGTGCCATGGTGACAGCCCCTCGGTTGCCATAGTGACAGCCCCTCGGGTACCATGGTGACAGCCCCTCGGGTACCATGGTGACAGCCCTCCGGTTGCCATGGTGACAGCCCCTCGGGTACCATGGTGACAGCCCCCTGGGTACCATGGTGACAGACCCCCGGTCGCCATGGTGACAGCCCCTCGGTTGCCATGGTGACAGCCCCCTGGGTACCATGGTGACAGACCCCCGGTCGCCATGGTGACAGCCCCTCGGGCGCCATAGTGACAGCCTCTCGGGTACCATGGTGACAGCCCCTCGGGTACCATGGTGACAACCTCTCGGGTACCATGGTGACAGCCCCTCGGTTGCCATAGTGACAGCCCCTCGGGTACCATGGTGACAGCCTCTCGGGTACCATGGTGACAGCCCCTCGGGTACCATGGTGACAACCTCTCGGGTACCATGGTGACAGCCCCCCGGTTGCCATGGTGACAGCCCCTCGGGTACCATGGTGACAACCTCTCGGGTACCATGGTGACAGCCCCCCGGTTGCCATGGTGACAGCCCCCTGGGTACCATGGTGACCGCCCCCCGGTTGCCATGGTGACAGCCCCTCGGGTACCATGGTGACAGCCTCTCGGGTACCATGGTGACAGCCCCCCCGGTTGCCATGGTGACCGCCCCTTGGGTACCATGGTGACAGCCCCACCGGTCGCCATGATGACAGCCCCCCGGTTGCCATGGTGACAGCCCCCCCGGTTGCCATGGTGACAGCCCCTCGGGTACCATGGTGACCGCCCCCCCTCCCCTCCGCTGAACCATTTTCCGTCCCGCCACGTGATGACAACAGCTCCCGCGCACGTGACGGAGGGCGCGCTGTCAATCAAACTCGCTCTCCTCCAATCACCGCCCGCCATTCAGAGCCGGTCCCGCCTTCCGGAAGCGGGCGATCTAATGGACGCTGTCGGCGCGTTCCTGCGGTTTGACAGGCCCGGCGCAGAGGGGCGTTGATTAGCGTGGGGCTGAACCAATCGCAGGCGGAGGAGCCGCGTGGGCTCCCGCCCCTGCGGCGCGGGGGCCAATGGGCGTGCGGCAGGCGGCGCTGCGCCCGCCCCCCGGCACTGCGGTAATATGGCTCCGTAGCGGGCGGCCGGCTCGGCGCTGCTGCCGCCATTAACCCCTGCGCGCCCGGCGGCCCCGGGGAGTGGAGCGGGGAGCCTCCGTGAGGATGACCTCGGCTGCCAGTCCCGCCGCGTTACCGCCCGGCTCCGCCGCCCGCGCCCTGCATGTGGAGCTGCCTTCGCAGCAGGTACGGCGGGGCCTCGGCGCGGCGCTCCCAGGGGGCTGAGGCGGAGGAGGCTGTCCCCTGAAGTGAGGGGTGTTCTGAGGTGAAGGGGATCTGCTCTTTTGGCTGTGGGGTGCACACAGGGGCGTGCTCACTGAGATGTGGGTTGTTCTGCGTGCTGAGCTGAGAGGTGCTCCCTGAGGCGTGCAGGGGTTGCTCCCTGAGGTAAAGGGGGGCACAGGTACTCCTTGAGGTGTCAGCGGGGCTACCCCGAGGTCTGGGGGTACCTGAGGTGCAGTCCCCAAGCTGATGGGAGGCAGTCTCTGAGGCAAGGGGCAGTTTGAGCACCTTTCTCTTAGGCCGGTGGAAGGCAAAAGGAAGCATGGGGGTAGGGGTCTGTGCTTCTCTCCTGGGGAAGTCAGGAGTTTTCTCCCAGAAAACTACTTCTGTGCCTGCTAAGGATCTGGAGCAGCCTAAAGGTGGGAGTTGCAGCAGGAATAACACCGAAAAAATCGATGTTGAGCTTGGGCACCTCGCGAGGCCGGAGCAGCTGGGGTGTCCCCTCCCTCCTTCCCTTGGCGGGGTGGGGAGCAAGTGTGAATATAACAGGAGGTGTATTCTGAAAAGTGGTGAAATGCTCTCTCCCTATTGCATCCTTCCTTCGCATAACTCTCTTTTTCCTGTTTGCTGATAGTTGGCTTTTGGTTTACTTGGCATTTGTCCCACATTTTCATTTTGGAGAGCATTAATTTCAAGTGAGGAAGACCAGGTTCTGCCTGAGCATTTAGCAATCCGTATCAAACCAACTTTATTACCTTTCCTCTCTTTCATGTGGTGACTTTGATTGTACAGGAGCTGTAGCAGGAGTGGTGAAGGTGGGAGTAATTAGGAAAATTTTGCTTTTCTTTAAAAATAGTGTAAGATGTGAGTGTTGTTTTGGCTCATTGACTCAGTACAGTCTATGTTATTACAAGTTAGACACACAATCTGTTTTATTTGAGCTACATGTTACCAGGTGGGAATATAAAAAGTACCTAGAGAAAAAAGGCAACAGAAAAGTGGATCTATAATTGCTCTTTTGTTAAACATCTTCTAGAAGACATCCTCTTGGGGGCTAAGGGAGGGAAATGGAGGTGGCTGCTGGCCACCTGACCCTAATTTGTGATCAAGTACTTACTCTGAAATGTGCGTCTGCTATATGTTAATAAGCATAAACACGAATGCTGCTCTGTATGAACAGGAAAAAATGGATTGTCCACAAAATCAAATATGGCCTTCTCCTTGCTGAATTTTTTGTTTTATTCTCTCTCAGGCTTGTGCAAGGACTGAAGGAATGCTGCAGGGAGAAGCCTGATATTAGTCATTGGATTTCGTTTGGGAAAGTGAGACCAAAACACAGGCTTTTACTTCTAGGAGCAGAAACTTTTATAGGAGTTCCTGGGAGCAGAAATTGAGTCATCAATTATAGGATGTTCCAGTTGAGCAAATGTTTATCAAGGAATCTTGTATGTTAATTGTACCAAGTGTAAGGCTGTGGCAGAGACTGGGGTATTCTGCTGTGTGCTCTGCTAACACAAGGACCATGTGCTGAGGGATCTGTGTACTGTATCTGTACCTGGAATCAAATTGAGAGGCTCAGCTGAACAACACTGATAGCAAATCACCTTCTTTGTATTATCTGAGCTCAAAAGTCTGTTACTGATGTGCAGGATACCTTGAAGGGGCTCAGCACACTGGAGCTGTTTTACTGCAGAATTATGAAGAAGATAAGTCATTCCTAGTCTAGTCTATTGTACCACCTCTGTAATGCTGTAGTCTGGCTGACCCAAGCTATATGATGCTACATAAGGCAAGGTTTGCTGTACGCCAGCACAAAACCAACTTGGTGATTTGTTTCAATAGGCAGCTTTCTCTAGGACACCCAAAGCTACATTTTTTTGGCTATAAGGATTGAGAGCAGGATGGTCTGAGTCATAGCTATAAATCTCCCCAAAGACAAATTCTCAACTGTGAATTCAAGGTGAATGCATTTAATGACTAAAGTGAATTTTTAGGAGAAGAAGTATTGACGGTGTAATTTGGATTTAGTCTTGCTTTAATTGTTCCAGTGATAGTCACATTGATTAGAAAACAATGTTCCTGCTACTGACACATTTGCAGGAGTGAAGCATTAAATATGAAACTTTTTGCTACTGTGATGACATGTCAAAACTGACTGACTTCTGTAACTTGTTTGTGTGGTGGGATGACTGGGGCAGAGAATGCTTTTTTGATGTTGTAGTCTGTATTTTAAGAAATTAGGATGTTAAAAATAGAGGATATGGCTGTAAATAAATGCATCTGATTAAGCATAAAATTCCCATTTGAATCCCTTAGTAATTGTGTGAGGATATTGTTCTCTTTTGCTGTGCAAGTGAGCACAACAGAACTGAAAATGTGAAATAATTGCACTTCAGAAGCAGAGATTCTTTAGTGATATCTCTTCGTGGCTGTTTGACGCAAGAAAACTGTGAGTGTCATAATAATTTAAGGATTTCTAAATGCTCAAACCTTTCAGATTTTTATATATCCTCAGTGTAAGGGATTAGACAGAAAAATGCAGCCTGAATGTCTAGAGGCAGTCATGCCACAGTCAAATGATCTGTTTAGTGCTACTCTGCTAATTGCTGGCCAAAACAGATTTCATGTGTGGTTGTCTAGTGACAGGAAAGCACATAGTCATGGACTCCAAACCAGTGCCTGGGAGGGTGTAAGGGAGGCAGGGAGGTGTATCTGCTGAGTGTGGATGTGGTGGTAAGGAGGGAAGGGGCAAATTGTGCCATTGTGCACAGCCATGAATAGTGTCAGATCAGGTGACCCAATATTTTCTGTATCTTTCAGTTCACAAACACCTCTTGACCGATGGTGAATGTTTCTGTGAAGAGGAACAGCAATGAGGTTTCAGCTCCATGTGTCAGAAGTGTATTTTAGGGTAGAGCAAAACAGAGCAGCCAGTTAGTGAAACTTTTCAAGGACACTCTGTAGCCTCCATTAACATTAAGGCTGGGATTTCTAAAGGTCCAGTTGGAGTTTTATGCACTTGTATGAGTCCAAGAGCAGTGCTCATCATACATGAATCCTGTGGCTTCCACACCAGCATTTCTACCCTCAGGATTTGACCATCCAACCAACTTGTTATCCATCTAACAGTCCACTCATCAAATCCATCTCTCCAATTTGCAGAGGAGGGGGTTGTGGGGGATCACGTCATAGGCTTTACAGAAGTTCAGATAAATGACATCTGTAACTCTTTCCTTGTCCACTGATGTAGCCACCCCATCATAGAAGGCCATTGGGCTGGTCAGGCAGGACTTTGCTTTGGTGAAACTGTGCCAGCTGTCAAATCACCTCTCTGTCTTCCATGTGCCTTAGCACAGCTTCTCAGAGGATCTGTTCAGTGATCTTCCCAGGCACAGAGGTGAGGCTGACAGGATGGTAGCTCCCAGGGTGCTCCTTTCTAGCCTTTTTAAAGATGAGTACTGTGCTTCCCCTTTTCCAATCACCTGGTGCTTCACCCAACTTCCAGGATAACTTCCAATATCATGGAGAGTGTCTTGGCAACTAAATCAGCCAATTGCCTCAAGATTCTGTGATGCATCTCATCGGGTCTCATGGACTTGTGCACATTCAAGTTCCTCAGGTGGTCATGAACCCAGTCTTAGAGTGTGAGGGGCTTTGTTCCCCCAGTCCCCATCCTGCTGTCAGTCCATTCAGGATGTGCAGGAAGACAGGTTGTCGTTGAGGACCGAGGCAAAAGAGTTGTTGAGTACCTCACCCTTCTCACCAGTTGTTACCAGTTTTCCAGCATTATTTATCAGGGGGTAACACCTTCTTTGGCTTTCTTTTTCTGGGTAGCGTAAGTGGAGAAGCCCTTCTTTTGCATCCCCTGCCAGATTCAGTTCCAGATTTGACTTGGATTTCTTTCTTTAAAAATGTGTATCGCTCATACACAACATTTTGGGCAACATGTCAGAGAAGTGTGCTGACAAATGTGTTTGAGGAGTCTTTTGCAGGAAAGTGAAGAAAGTTACTGTATGGACCCAGGGCTGCACATGAATGGGACTTTAAACAATGTGAAAATAGTATCTTTTTAAACATCAGTTTTATATTACTCTTGTTACGTATTCTCCTGAGTTATATGGGGGGAAAAAAAAAGACTGATTCTTAAATATTTTACTTTCCCTTTCCTATGAAATATGGGGGAAGAGGGCAATCAGAATAATGAATGGAAAGTGTTGTATTGGAGTACTGCTTTCACTTCTCTTTGACACACTGTCTTTAAATGCTGAGTGGGAGGGAAGTACTGCTCCAGTGAAACATTACAGTGTGAGTTGTGACCTGCCGAGTTGTATCCATACCCATCTATATCAATATTTAATGTTTGTTAGAGATAAACTAGGAGGAGTAGTTGTTAAAGTTACTGGAAAATTGTAATTTTAGCCCAAAAGACTGGCTGTTAAGCTGGGGCTGGAATTTTGCTTTCTGCAGTGTACTACCTGTAGTCCGTAAAGGATGCAGGTGTGTTTTGCAGACCAAATGATCTGCTGATAAGATAGACTGTTATGTCCAAAAGCTGTACTAAATCAGTTTTCATGCTTTATTTGGGATGCTTACTGTGGGTTATGGAATGCACTTAATTGAGTTTACTAGCTAAAGACTGAAGTTTCATTTATGAAGGGAAACTGATTTATTTGCCCTTGATTTACTGTCCAGCAACAAGATAAGCATAAATATCCTTCAGGTTATTAATCATCATATGCTGTTTGCTTGTGCAACCCAGAGTGTCCTTAATGCTTCTTTAAGGTCAAAATTGCCATTGTTTTGATTTTCTGTTGGTTCTGTAAGGCCCTTGGGTGCTAAGGGTGCTTTCTTCTGAGTATCATCTTGATATTCCCAGATTACTCCCACAGCAAATGTGGACTAATGCTCCCTTCCCCAAAGTCACGTTAAGAGGCTTAAGGGACTTTTCTCAACTGCTGCATTGT